GTTTTCTTGTAGCGTCTGAAAAATAGGTAAGGCTTCATGTTACGTAGCAGGAAGTGGAATAAGAGTTTCTACTAGATTGAACGAAACTGATTTGGCCACTTTTAAAGCTCGAATTGGATTCAGATGTGAAGAAATATCCCTTTAGGATATGAAGTGTTTTGTGGCAGAGGGAGAGGTGGTTGAATATTTACTGCTAAGGTAGCAGCGACAACTTTCCGTGTAGTGGTGGATCTGGTAGCCTTGGATCCAGCCATATCTGTTGTATATGAAAATTAGTGATCCAAAAAATATTAAAGAGATGATACCGAAGTTGTGCTAAGTTGAATCGGAATACAATAGATCTTTGTGTTTGGTTACGAATTGTGAAAGTTGAATAACGTATGTGAATTTGTGGAAATTGTTGGAATCAAAAGTTGATTACCACAAATGGCACCATTGTTTTATCCTAGAACCAAAAATGAGAAGTTTAGACGAATGTGACAGTGGATAACAACCTTCAATGCGGTGGAGTGGGGTGTGTGTGTGTGGGGGGGGAGGTACCTGTAAGTTTAGCACTCCAATGCTCAAGTCAGTATATGAAGAAGAAAAGTGAAATGAAATTGTATTTGAAACCTGTTACCTAGATTTAGAGAGAGAGAGAGAGAGAGAGAGAGAGAGAGAGAGAGAGAGAGAGAGAGAGAGAGAGAGAGAAACACAGATAGAGAGATAGAGAGAGAGAGAGAGAGAGATAACAAACTAGGTATTTGCTCATTGTTCTTTGCAGATGACCGTCGGATGTGCTTTAGTCTTGAGATCTTTTGGGAACTTAGAAATAACTATCTTCATTTATTAAGAAGATTCTTAAAGAGAAGGGTCATTTTGTTAGATTGCATACTAAGACGGTACAAACGACTTAGTTCGCCCGAGTTTTTTTCCGATTGGCCTAGAACAATTCCTCTCAACTAACGTTTGATTCCCCTCAAATGACTCATATTTAATTTCCCTCAGTTGGTTGATGTATGATGATTCACCTTATTTACACTTGGGGATAAAACTCATATTATATTCACATAGCTCTTTCTAAGCGTGAGGGACTCACTTCAGACTTAAGGGACTTGCCTCATACATTAGGGATTTGCCTTAGGTTTGAGGGACTCACCTCGTACATGAGAGGATCGCCTTAGACTTGCATAACAAATTCATCCATACTAGGTTAGGAAAGCGAGACTAAATCAATTTGTCCTTTCCAAATCCTCGTGCTTGAGGGACTCTGTATTGGTATAATTATAAATGATTCATAAGGGACAATGTGAGAGGGGGAAAGGCGTAATGTATCGCACAAACAATTTTCTAATCAGCCATTTATTAGTTCGAGCACACACCATTTGGACGGGGCGCCCATTTCTCAAGTCAGTCGCCTTCTAGGAGAAATGTGGAAGTGATGTGTCCCAGTCCACAACAACGCGGAGCGGGAGTCAAGAAGAATCTATCACATTGTCCAGAATAATAGGTGGTCAACTTCCCCGTTCTCATGATCTTGGAAGCAATTGCTAACTTTAAGGAGTCTGAGATCTAGGCTCAAGGACTTCTATAAATACCTCAACCAAGGTTGAGGAGATCCAATCAATTTACACAAACGCCATCAAAGTATCTGCCAAAAAGTCCAACCATTCTCTCTCTCTCTCTCTCTCTCTCTCTCTCTCTCTCTCTCTCTCTCTCTCTCTTATAAGCATCACAACATGTCAAAAAATAGAATAAATTGTCCCACGATGCCTTTTCATCGTGCCACAATATTTTATTTTAAGATGGATCGTGTCACGATGCTTTTTATGGTGACATGCTCTTGGGTGCGACACGATCTTCAGTGTGATTTTTCTATTGGGTAGTTTGTAGATATATGTGCTTGTAGGTATAAAGTTGAAAAGAAGATCCATCTGAAGTTTTGATGACAACAACAATGACTAAAGTCGATGACAATAACTTTCAACCTTGATGATGAAGTTATAAAGAAACATTTCATTCCTCATCAACAAAGAGAGACTCAAGATCAAAGTGCTTATATGACCAGAAGAAATCTAGAAAATAATCTTGAAGCCCCAAACTAAATGTGGAAGCTCTCCAGGTCGTGTCTGTCTGAGTGACCAGAGTATTGTAAAAGTAAGGAAGTAGCTTAGAAGTACCAAGGCAATTTACACACACACACACACCCCTAAAAATATTTTCTAAAATGTTTTTATCTTGAAAATTATCATTTAAGCTAAGCCAAGTGATTAAAAAGTAGTCCAAATATTTTCCAAACTATTTTTGAATTAACCAATTGATTGTTAAGATGTGACGATCAAATTGAATTACTTTTTTGAGCCATCCAATCAAGGATCGAATCAATCGATTGGAGAATAGCTAATTGATTTCAAAGCAATTATGAAAGCACATTAATGACTTGTAGCAGCTCTATATCTAATATTTCCTAATTAGGATTGCAAATTGATTAAAAATGAGTTGTTCAATTAATTGGAGCTTTGTGCCAATCGACTGGCTCATTAAATCATCCCATGAATCATTTTCTTTTTCTATGTTTTCAACTCTTATATGAATGAGTCTCGCCTCCACTTTTTTATACGTTACTTTTCAACAATTTACATTTTTTTTTGAAATTTACCTCTCTCTAGAAAATATTTCTCTCCCTTGATATTGCCTCAATGCTTGCGAGTGAAACTGTTCTTTTGAGGAAGAATTCTGTAAGTGGTTTTTATGTTTGTTTAAATCTTAAGAGTGTGATACTCTTGTGAAGATTAAGTTTGGTTCGTGAGATAAATCAGTCATAAAATCTCTATGGTGGTTTATTGAGCCTTGTCGTAAAAAGTTATACTTTGGTTATTGAGATTAGCTTGAAAATATCTAATAAGGTTCTAGTTTAGCCTATGATAAAAACTATCTATAATTGAGAATAAGCTTGTAAAAATCTCAAGATCAGGTTGTATAAAGGTTTGTGGGCATATCTTAAAAAGCTCACAAGTTTATAGTTAAAATATCAAAATCACCTCTTAGAGACAGGACTAGACAAACATTCAGGAAAACTTGGATAACTCTCTGATGCAATCTCTCTAACTTTATCCTATTAACTTTCCGCTATTTAATTTTTATTATTTATCTCCTTTGTGATTTGCTCAAACCAAATTACTAACACGATCTTAATCGAGAAAAATATACATCTAATCACGAATTCAAAATACCGCAATTCACCCTATTTTATGCTTGAAATCACTTGTTCAACATAATTGACCTTTTCTTCACAATTTATTGGTATCCATGTTTCTTAACTTCTTCACTTTCTTTCTATTTCTTCATAAAGTTCAAAGCATAGACCCCTAAAATATCATTAAAAAAACACATACAAATACTTAATAAAATTAACATGATAAGAATGTGTCATCACGTATCAAGTTAAGTTTAAGAATGGTCCATCTATTAAGTGGGATGATTGATTATCATAGTCAAGAGTTAGGTAAATGTCTTTCGTGCGAATTGTCAGGAGTCGAGTAAATGCCTTTCATACAAATTATTGTCATAGTACTTACTGTTTTTTCTATATCTTTTTTCATCTCTTGTATTAAGGGTTTGTATTCATTGTTCTCTCCATAATTAAAATTAGATTGCTTATAAAATTAATATAATGGTAAACGTTTCAAGCCCTCTTTTGTTTTAAAAAGATAATTTAATGGTAAATGTTATCTCTTGGTACTCATTATTCCCTCTTTTGTTTTAAAAAGATAATTTAATGGTAAATGTTATCTCTTGGTACTCATTATTCCCTCTTTTGTTTTAAAAAGATAATTTAATGGTAAATGTTATCTCTTGGTACTCATTATTCCCTCTTTTGTTTAAAAAAGATAATTTAATGGTAAATGTTATCTCTTGGTACTCATTATTCCCTCTTTTGTTTAAAAGAATAGGTAAAAATATTGTCTAGGTTCTTTAAATCATTTTAAAATAACAACTTAGTCTTTTAAGTGTTTTTTGGTAACCATTTGGTCATTTATCTTAACAAATGTTTGCGTCATTGCCCTTTTTAAAGTTTTCCATTACAAAAACACATGTGGCACAAATGGAGCACATGTGGCATTTAAGTGAGATGAGTTGACATTGAAGATTGCTGATTTTAAATCTGGATATCTAAAAATCACGCATGTCCATCACTTTCACAAATGTTCATCATATTTAACAATATTCATGAGCAAAAATATGAAAATCACAAAAGCAATAAAATAAATTACAAATTATATACTGTTGGACTTGGATTTTCACCATGAATCCAAATATGCAATCAAATTTATCAAACAAGTTATGGTTCATGAGAATCAGGAAAAAAATGGACGAAATACATAATGAAAAATCGTTTGACCCGACCAAAATACACAATCAAATGCAAAACTAATTACATATTCGTGATCAGCGCGAAAAACCAGTTCAAATAGTATACGAGTTTGCAATTTATTGTTGAGATTCAGAGTTTTCCCATTTTTGTGTTTATGAGCTCATGAGTGTTCTTAAAATGTATTAAGTTTTAGAGTTTTGAAATTCAAAAATATAGGAAACAATAAGACAAAAGTCAAACAACAACCTTCAATGTCAACTCATCTCAGTTAAATGTCCCATATGTTCCATTTGTGTCACATATTCGTTTTATAATAAAAACTTTAAAAAAAGATAACGATGTAAATTTGTTAACATAAATGATTAAAGTGTTAAAAAAAATTTAAAATACTAACATGTTATTTTAAAATAACTTAAAAAATTTAGATAATATTTTTAAATAATAAATAAATAATAATAATTTTATGCTAAACTTTTCAATTAATTTAATAGTAAGCATTTTCGGAGTATAGTCGTGGCCCGTGGGTATTTCATTTGAGTTCCTTACTTTCCTTTCCTTGCTTCCTTTGATGTCTCCAGAATCAGGTATTTCTCTATATCTTCTCTTCAGTTACTTTGAGATTATTAACTTTCTTTCTTTGCAAAACATGACAAATATTCTAAAACCAAAACCCATTTCGTATTCGTTTCCTGAAACATGTTCATCTCCTTCACAAACAGAACCTCCTAATATCCCAAATAACCCTAGTAACAGTGACGATGCATGTTCATCTTTTGACATTCTAAACTATGAGTCGTGGGTGTGTCCCCAAGTTCTGAAGCGCCACTCAATCTTTATCTCAAATGAATCTATCCTTCCTTTGCTACAAAAGATTCAGCTGACCCATCATTCCTCGCATGCAAATGAACTTGCATGTCTTCCGTGCTCCGAAGAAGAACGTGTGTGTTGGCAGCACACAGATGAAAATGAACCACATTTTATTTATATGTATGTGTTCCTGTTTGAGAAGTTGTTAATTTCACTTCCTTTTTCGAAATTTCAATGTGACGTTTTGGCTGCCCTAAATGTTGCTCCTTCACAGCTTCATCCTAATACATGGGGTTTCATAAGAGCTTTTGAAATCCTTTGTTCTTGTGTTGGTGTTGAGCCTAGTGCCGATAAGTTTCTGTATTTCTTCCAAGTGAAGGTTTCGGGAAAAGTGGGGTGGATATCTGCGAGTGGCCGGTCAGGGAGACGGTTGTTGAATGCTTTTTGTTCTTCCTATAAGAACTGGAAGAACATGTTCTTTAAAGTTCGTTCGGGCCTTTTGTTGGACGAAGGGGGAAATTCTCAATTTCCCCTTCGATGGACAACTGATCCTGTTCCCTTCAATACCTTTGAGATTGACCGATTGGACGAGGTTGAGCGGGAAGAAATTCAACTGTTGATCGGTTTACCTGTATTTCATTGTGCTAAATTGATAGCACTAAATGAAAATCGTGACGCTTTAATGGCTCACTTTTGTAAGTTGCATTCAACAGGTCTTGTTTCGCCGGCTATGTTATCTTTGTTTCTATGGATTTGTGAATGACTTTGATGTTTTCATTTTATTGTTTTGCAGCAGAGATGACGAGGTTCAAGTTCAAGAAAAAGGACTTGGAGAAATTCATTAACGTTAAACCTTCTACAGATCCGATTACACGTAATTCACCTCCTAACCGTACCATGGCGTCACCTTCAGGAAGCCAGCTTAAGGAAAAGAAGCGAAAAAGAACATCTGAGGTCCCAGCCGAGCCCGTGCCTCATAAGCAAACCCGTGTCAACAAGTCACCTGTCCTCCTTGCCAGTGCAGGGAATGTGCCTTCGGTTGTTCCGGCACCGACCATTCCAGTACAGAACCTTGAGGCCATGTGGGATGATGCACATGGGTCTTCATCAGAGATTGACAGACCATGTTTTTCTAAACTTAGGAAGGAGGATATGGTTGAGGCAGCTAAGGTATACCAGCTACGTGCTTTAACTCTTATAAAAGAGATGGAACAAGTTATGATTTCAGAGGGCTTGGAGAAGCTGACTAACGAGAATGAAGAGGATAAGAGGATTAAAGAGATTGGAGATTTGAAACGAAAACTGGAGGTTGCTCACAAAGCTCAAGACAAGCTGAAAAAAGAATTGGTTGACTTGAACACGAAGCAAGAGAAATGGCAGAAGGAGAAAATTGACTTAGAATCTGCTTTGAAGGAAGAGCGCGATCTCCTGAAATCCACTCAGGTAAATCTGCGTGATGAGAAAAATAAGGTCCAGCAGGCCATGTCTCAGGCAGCCCATCAGTATTTGGAAGGTTTTAATTGTGCTAAGTCTCAAGCCGCCTTCTTGTGCTCGGTTGATGAAGGAAAATTAGATGGCATGCGCCTTTGGGGTCAGGTAAGGGATGGCGAAATCGTAGTTGATGATGAGGGAGATGAGAGTGAGGACAGTGATGGTCAAGGGGATGGTTTGGCCTAGGATTCTCAGTTAATTGTCATATTTTACACACATTAAGACATAATCGTTTTTTGGCTTTCCATACCCTTTTCAGATTTTAAGTTCATAGTTAAAATACTTGTTCTTACCCACATCTCTTTAGAGTTAGGTAATGATTAACAAAATTATATTTAGTATAAGGTTTAAGTTTGGGATTGCTTGTGAAATAGAAACAATCTAAATTTGAGGGAGGTGGTCTTAAAGCAATGTAAATAGAGCGAATTGTATAAAAGTGTTGAAAAACAGTTACTCCAAAAACAAAACAAAAAAAAGGTACTCGTGAGAATAAAAAGAAAGTCAAATATCCATAATCTAGTATCATTTGTTGAGCTTATGGTAACATGAGATTTGTATGTTGACTGAGTGATAAAATTGATTGTCATTTGAGCGAATTATTGAGAAAAACAAAAAGTTGAGTAGAGATGAAATTTAGGTAGATTTCTTTACACTTATCTATCTTAGAAGTTTGAAAACAGAAATAGCATTTGAACATGAGCATGAAAGTATTCCGATATATAACCTTAAACTTGAAAGTTATCGTTATAGACATGCAAGGTTGTCATATTAGTGTAAATTCTCATCTCTCAAACTTATTTACTAAAGACAAGTAACAATTCAAGTTTAGAGTTGTGATGATCCTGGATCATACTAACACCTTCAATAAATGTTTATACAATTTAATTACTTTTTCTATTAACATTACATGTTTCTTAAAAAGTTATACATGAATTAATATCAACATGGAAAGTCTCAACTCAAATAAAAAAATAAAAATCATGTAAACCACCTAAATTTACAATGCTCACATAGTGGAGATTATCGTGACGATAAACAACGCAAAAACAAGCACACAAAGACCAAAACAAAGGAGGATTCACTTTGCCAAAATTTTGTCACTACTATTGAGATTGTAATTCTTTGTGTCGAAGTAGTATAGCTCGACAGAAATAAGGATTAGTCGAATTAGCCTAATATGTGTGTGTTGAGTTGTATTTATGTGTCGAAACAGGTTGCTTCACACAGAATTTCGACTTAGGCCTATTTTAGTAATGTTAGCTATTTTGGGCTTTTATAGTTTTTGACTTTGACTTGGGGTGCAAGCTAACCTAAATCTATAAATAGGGAGTAACCCTTATTTTGTAAACAACACAATTCATATTTTGTATTCACGGTTTTCAGTTGCAAGTGAATAAAGATTTTGCACAGTTTATGGGCAGAAAGAACTCTATAGATTTTTCATCTTTTTCTCCAACGTTTCTTTCTTTCTTTATTTCTTTCTTTCTCAACTGTTCATTGTCATTGCGTGATTGATAACATTCTTGAGATCAAGATTGAGCGTAATTCTCCATAGGTTGTGGTTGAATTCCAACATCTGGTATCTAGAACTCTGGTTGTGATTCAAGGAAGAAAAATCGTGATGGCGATGAATCATCCAAACAGGCATTTTCTGGTAAACCTTCTGATTCTCAAGAAATATAATTATGAGAATTTGTGCAAGCAGATTAAGGTGGTTTTCTGTTATCAAGATCTTTGGGATCTTATGAAGGAAGGAGTAACACCACTTGTAGAAAACGCGACGGATCAAGAAAAGGTTGCACATAAAAAATTGAAAAAGAAAGATTATAAAGTCTTTTTATAATCCATAAATGTGTTGATCCAGATAATTTTGAAAATATTAGTGATGTAGAATCAATAAAAAATCCTGGGAGATTCTAGAAAAATCGTTTGGAGGTGCAGAAAAGGTGAAAGAGGTGAGGTTACAAACTCACAAGAGAATATACGAATTGCTTCAGATGGAAGAAAGTGAAAGTATAACAAATTTCTTCACTATGGTTACAAAACTGGTGAATCAAATCAAGGTATGTGGAGAAGTGTTGACATCAAGATCAGTTGTTGCAAAGATCTTGAGGTCATTGACTCCAAAGTTAGACCACATGGTACTAGTCATAGAAGATTCAAAAGACTTGTCAGTATTGACAAAGGAAGAGCTTCAAGGGACGCTTGAGTCTCATGAACAAAGGATGACTGAAAGAGCTGCAGGAAAGTCGAAGAGTGATATGGCTTTGTAGGCGCAGCCAGAAAAAGAAAAGAAAGAAAAAGAAAGTTGGAATGTCAACAAAGGTAGAAGAGGCTACAACAATTCGTTTGGTCGAAATCAGTAGGAAGAAAACTGGTCGAATCAGAGAAAACCATGGAACTAAGGCAACCAAAGAGGTGTTGCTGCAGGTAGAGGAAGAAATGGTGGTTAAAAGCCTGAAAAAAGTCACATTCGGTGTTTTAATTGTCAGAAGTATGACCACTATTTTAGTGAGTCTCGAGAAAAGAAGAAGAATCAAGAAATTGGTGCAAAGCTGGTGAAACATGAAGAAGAGATATTGTTGATGGTCACAATAAGAGATGAAGAAAGATTCTAGGATTAGTGGTACTTGGACTCAGGATGCTCATCACACATGACTGGTAGGAAAGATTGGTTTGTCAACATAAAGCCCTCGATGAAGAATATGGTAAAATTTGTAAATGATAATACTGTGATAGCTAAAGGTATTGGCGATGTTCTAATTATGAGGAAAGATGGAAAGATGTCAGTATAGGGAAGCTGGTGAAAAAGAACTACAAGGTGTCGATCGAAGACAAGATGATGAGTGTTCTCGACGCAGGTGGTATGTTAATCTTGAAGGCTCTAATGTCTCAGAATAGGACCTTCAAGATTGAACTAAATGTGATGGAGCATAAGTGCCTTGCAACTGCAACCAGCATAGATGAATGATTATGTCATTATCGACTTGGCCATCTCAATTTCAAAGACATAAGAGATTTGAAGAGAAAAAATACGGTTTTAGGATTACCAGAAATCGACATTCCAAGTGAAGTGTGTGAAGAATGTGTTCAAGCGAAACAACACAAGAATAACTTCAGCAAGGATGCAGGAAGCAAGTTAAAGGCAATTCTCGAAGTCATATACTCTGATGTATGTGGTTCTATCCATGTGGATTCGATTGGAGGTAACAGATACTTTGTCACGTTTATAGATGATTTCTGTCGAAAATTATGGACTTACCTGATCAAGAAGAAAAGTGAAGAGATCGAGGTATTTGCCAAATTTAAATATATGGTCGAAAGCTAAAGATTCTGAGAACTGATGGTGGTGGAGAGTATGTGTCAAAAGATTTCGATGTATTATGTGAGAAAGAGGGGATTTTGCATGAGGTGGTGCCATCCTACATTCCACAGCAGAATGGAAATGCAGAAAGGAAGAATAGAACCATCATGAATATGGTGAGGAGCATGTAGAAAGGCAAGTATCTATCCAAAGAATTATGGGGAGAAGCTTTGTTGACTGCAACATATACCTTCAATAGATGTCCGAAAAAGAAGCTAGAAAGAATTACGGCAGAAGAACGTTGGTCTGGTGTCAAGCCTAGCCTAAGTCATTTGAAGGTATTTGGATCTATAACACATAGACATGTGCCAGGTCAGTTGGGAAGAAAGCTTGACGACAATTCGAGTCAAATGATCATGATAGGATATCATTCGACTGGAGGATACAAAATGTTCAATCCAAAGAACAAGCAAGTAGTGATCAGTAAGGACGTGATCATAGATGAGCTTAAGGAATGGGATTGGATTGAGAATGTTAAGAAGGATTCAGTGAGAATCTTATGTGAAGAACCAGCTAGTGAAGTCAAAAGAGAAGTTCGACAAGAAGAAGTCATAGGTGAAGCAGGCCCAAGCGGACCTCGACTAACAAGAAACATGTCTACAAGGTTGCAAGAATGTGTGATTACATCAGATGATGTGGTCGATGAAGAAGGTGAGGTGGTAGACTATGATTTCTATGCAAATGTCGAACCAGTCAATGTAGCTGAGGCATTGAAAGATTCTAAGTGGGTGAAAGAAATGAATGAAGAACTATAGTCCATCGAAGTCAACAATACCTGGTCACTTGTCGAATTTCCTTAAGGCAAGAAGCCAATTGATGTGAAATGGTTTTACAAGGTGAAGGTGAATCCTAAAGAAGAAGTAACTCAACACAAGGGGAGACTTGCGGCGAAAGGATTTCTTCATAAGGAAGGAATCAACTTCGACAAACTTTTTGCACCTGTTGCTAGGATCGCAATAATCAAGTTGGTTGTTGGTCTAGAAAACATGAACAATTGGCACACATGTCAAATGGATGTGAAATATGCATTCCTGAGTGACCCTTTAGACGAATAAGTTTATGTTGCACAACCAGCTGGGTTTGTGAAACAAGGGGAAGAAAGAAATGTGTACAGGCTGCATAAAACCCTGTATGGACTAAAGCAAGCTTCAAGAGCTTGGAATAAGAAGATCGACAACTTTCTAAGGGAGAAGGAATTTGTGAAGTGCACGACTGAGCATGAAGTATATGTAAGGAGAAGCAATAGTGAATTGCTTATACTATGTCTCTATGTCGATAACCTGTTGATAAGAGGTAGTTGCAAGAAGGAGATCGAAGATTTCAAACATGACTTAAGTGAGGAGTTTGAAAATCCAGACTTGGAAATTTCTCATATTTCCTTGGCATCGAATTCTACAAGAGTAGTAAAAGTTTGATGATGCACCAAATAAGATATGCAGACGAAATACTCAAGATATTTGAGATGCAAGATTGCAACCCAACTTCGACTCCAACTGAGACCAGATTGCAAATGTCAAAGGATTAAGATGAAAATGATGTCGACCCAACCCAATATAGAAGATTATTGAGTCACTTCGATACCTTTGTCACACAATGCCTGACTTAGCATACAATGTGGGTATGGTAAGTAGATTCATGCAGAAGCCAAAGGTATCACACCTAGCAGCGACGAAGAGGATACCGAGGTATCTGAAAGGAACTATCGACTATGACATTCTGTTTCCTGCAGCTAATGAAGGAAAAGACTGCAAGCTAGTGGGATACACTGACTCAAGTTGGTGTAATGATACTAAGGATCAAAAATTCACAGCTGGATATGTGT